GTCTTTCAAGTAATTCCATAATGACAGCTTTCCTATACCATTAACGAATAACAAACTGATTAGTAACTCTAGAAAATAAAGGTAGACGCTGTGTTGCAGACACAGGAAAAACTAAGTGAAAATGTTGAACATTTCAGAAGAACCCAATACAAATAACCTCCTACCAAAACTGTAAGGACGGAGGGTGGGGAGGGAAGTTAGCACCGCACCTAGTTGTTGAAGGTTCTTGCAGTATGGAAGAAGGGGGGAGAAAAAAAGAGCTCTTAAAATGAAAATGTTGTACAGACAAAGGTCTATAAATCTGATTTCATGCCCAAGTTCCAATTTTGTTACACATTATTAAAAATCAACCCTAAACTGATTTAATGGATACCCAAACAAGGGGGAAATTGGATCCCCCAACCGTAAAGTGCCAGTGACACTGAGTGATACATTAAAGCTACACGGCTAGTTCCTGTCCTTAATTCACAGCCTGTGCTTCAATTTCAAACCTGCCTCGGATAGGGGAAGAAATAAAAAAAAGAAAAAAAAAATGGAATAAAAGCTTACTGCAGATTTTGTTCTTTAAAGATTTATTGAGATAGGAAGACTAAACAGAACTGAACACACATACAGTAAACAGCACATAAGGACTTGAAAAAAAACCACACGAAAAAACCAACCCAACACAACAACAGCCGGTAAGTGGCACACACAAGTTTCTGAACAGGGTGTCTGCTATCACATGCAGCCGCTCATGCTCAGCCGGACACTCCCGTGTCACGCCAGCCACCCTGCCTCGCGTCCTCCTAGGACTCAAGGGAAAATCCCCGGCTGCCGTGGAGCAGCGTTCCAGCATCTCGCTCGCCTGGTGCAAGTCATCAACCCCTGAGAGCGCCTCAGAAACTGCCTGAAGGACTCAATTGCCCGGGGACCCCGTGAGGGGACGGGAGTGTCAGACGGAGAAGCGGAGCGGAGACGGGAGGCCGGGCGGGCTGCTCCCGCCCCCGGTGCGGCGGAGGGAGCGGGGCCGCACCATGGACAGTGGCTGCGCCCGCCG